GCGAAAGAATATTATTCGGTACGATTGTTCGCAACGATATCGTATTTTTTTTTTTTTTTTTTTTTTTTTTTTTTTTAATTCATCCGCGAGGCCGTAATCCTATCGTGAGGTAACAACTTCACCGCAACGCAACAAAAAAACTAAGCATTGCGGTAAATTCTGAGGCAATCGGCAAGAGAGAGAGAGAGAGAGAGAAAGGAGTCAAAGTAAAAGTAAGGAAAGACCGAGAAAAATAAATCTATTATTTCTAATCGAATTTGTTATATATTCTCCAACTGGTGGATCGAACGAGCCATAATTTCTTCGCTGGGTAAAAGAAAATTTTACTTCTTTTTATTCGACCATCTGAAACATCAGTCTCTCTACCGTTAAAAATCCATAAAGCGAAATATAGCGAAATAGTAAAAATTCTCGAAAACCCACATACATATACATCGCATCATTTATTATTAAAAATTGTGATTTATTATTAAAAAAAAAAAATCACAAATCTAAAAATACCATTGCAAGCGTATCGTCCAAATGCAATTTTTCCATTCTCCAAAAACCTAGTGAGATAAGACAAGCGAGGGAAATCGTTGATGGCCTTATAAACGGCAATCTTCTCGTGAACACGCGTGCTCGCGCCGCGAATACGGGTGGAAAGGCTTCGAGTGATTAGATTACGGCATAAGCGGTTTATTTATCTCGAATGCGACGAGATCAACCGCGCCACGGTGAGTGCAGTTTCTTCTCCTCGGTGAAACGCGAGTTCACTGAGGAGGAATCGGCGACGACCGGCCTTTTTCGAATTATTCCACGACGTCCGCCGCTTTTTCGACGACATTCCGGACACGCGTGAATCGGAGGAACGCGGCGATTCGCCCATTTGGCGACCAACATGGCCGTGAACCACCACCAGTGAGTGTAACGATCTTGGGTTTTTTTCCCCGGGACAATGCGAAGTTAATTGTTTTCTTGTTCGTAAAAAAAAAATAGACTGAGGTTTGAATTGATTGAATGAAATAGGACGTTGAGGAATTTAATTTATGCGGAAAACTTGGAAATCGGAGAAAATTAATTAATTAATTCCGGTTCATCATGTGACGAAGAATTTCTATTTATTATTGATAATAAAAGCTAATAAATTAAAATTAGGTGGGAAAATTTTCTGGAATGAAGTTTTCGAAATAATGCACAACGATAGAGAAGAACATTATATATAATTATATATAACTGATTGCAGCGTTGAAGAAATATTGTAAATTAATATTTTGTAATAAAAAAAAGAAAAGGAAAAAATTATTCGATTATAAAAGAAATAATAATACTTAAAACATTTTCCTTTCATCTTTTAAGAGATCTCATCTCGAGAACATATAAGATAATCGTGTTATTTTTACCATTTTATTCATTTCAAAAGCATGAATGCATATTTCCCGTAGAAAGAGGAAAAGAAAATATTCTTACCGGTCTTGAGTTCTTGAATACACGTGCAAATTAACCAATTATCTCAACAAGAAATCGCAAGAAACTTATCATTATTTATTATCGAGATTACCTTATTGTTAGTTTCATACAACGTCATTCTTACCGATACTCGTACAATTACCAATTCTAAATACATACCTATACATTAAACATTTATCAGTACTTATTAATCAAATCAAAAGGTGATCACAATCTTAATTCACTTATACATTTTTCTTACCGATCATAAACCGCACCCACGCAGTCTATTACCGTGCATATCAATCAATTATTCAAAGAAGCACTCGTCATATTATCCTCGCTCATAATCGTGGCGTAAAAACCGCCATAACCGACGATCGACGATCAAGGATCGAATTTAACCGATCGTTGATCGAACGATTCCTAACAAACGAAGAAAACACATCGCCGTGTCGAAGAGAAACACGGTTAATTAATCCCATCTCCTTGCCCTATTAGAGAGAGACGCGTATGCAAATAAAGCTGTCGCAACAGGGATCGCGTATCGTAATCGTGGAAAGTGATCGATCGAACGGCAGTGCTACATCAGTGTGTCTCGTGGATTAAACGCATCTCTATCGTCTCGTCCAAACGAATGATCGAACCGGATAGAACGTTTATAGGCCTCGCGTGGGCGTGTTACGTCAATAGAAGAAATTGATTGAAACTGGAGAAAACGATGAGCATGCTTTTCGGATGAAGAGTATCGCGTTTATTATGCTGAGATATCAAACTTTCGGAGTAGATTTTCAACGAATTTACTTGAATTTACTTGAATTTACTTTCAATTAGGTTGAATCTGTTATTATAAAGGCACGTACGAATGTATTGTCGAGTGTGATTGTATTATTCAGTTTGTAAGAAAGGAATTTGTTTATAATGATTTGTAGTTTATCTCTCTGTCCAAAGTATTTATTGAAATAAGATTTATCTTTGATTTGTATGTTTTCGTATATCACAAGAAGAATTGTGATAATAGGATAAATATGATCCATTTGGATTGTGAAAATTTTTTTAAAGATTGGAAAGATAATAAAATTTGTTTAAAAGTGAGGTCAATTTTAAGTAAAGAGATATCTGGATATCCTATATAAATTTATCTGGATAATAATATTATTTAGAATTTCGGATAGAAAATGATCGATCAATTAAGAAGAAGGAGAAGATTTTGTATTATATTACGTGTGAATGGAGGATAGTCGAAAAGGAACTTTTGAATTAAAATTCTGATCTCGTTTGTTTGATCTTGTTGACTGATTTCTTTTTAATGCGTGTACATGATCTGTGAATGAATGGAACGAAAAGAATCGAGCGTGGGATGTTCAATATGGAAGGAATTTGTTTGCTTCTGTTCCTATATTGCGATGTAGAAGAATAAACTTGATAACTTTCGATTCGAAAGATAAAGATGGAGAATCGCAATTTAAAAATATGATGAACTATTTTTAAAAGTTTTATCATTATTTTAAAAGCGAGGAAGAAATAATTTTTTAATTGAAATAAATTATTTGGAAAGAGCAGAAAGCTGAATTGCTGCATCTGTGACGTTTTATTACATCGCGTTGAATTTTAAATGTCCTTTTCTGTTCAAACCAGTTCAAATCGCAAAGAAAGTGACAGTTGTCACGATAACCCTTTAATATATAGCAGACTAATGGTTAAACGTGTCTTATCATTTTTTCAATAACTTGTTTCAATAACTTGAAAGTCTCTTTGGCTAGACGACTTTATCTGAATAAACAAGATTCTTTTCGCCGAGCAATACCATCATATATGTTGAAAAATGATTAAATAGAATTTACACGTAGAGAAATTTATTAAATTATTAAACTCTTGTACGATATTCTCGATTAATATGGATTGGCATATGGATGAAAGTTGTAAATTAGTAGATTCTTTTTTCTTACTTATAATTTTTACTTTGAATTTACTTATTATATTTAATTACTTATTATATTTATCAGATAAAATTATTAAATGAACAAACGAAACGATGAACAATCTCTATCAGATTATAATCCGATAACAATTGAAAAGTATTAAATTTTTATAAATTTTTCACAGCAAAAATATTTGATGTCATGGAAAAAATTTATTAATTTTATTATTATATATTGGAGACCTACTTAATTATATTATAACTGTAATTTTATTTTATATACGTAAAACAAATATCGATTCAAGATGTGACAATTTCACAATTTTTAATCAACAGATAAAATAAATATTAATTAGATAAAAAAAAAAAAAAGATAGTATAAGAATCGTTATGTGAACATATGTGTATTCATAACATGTTTAATTACACATGAGGAAGCCATGATGCACACATGAATAGATTATTAGGTGTGAATTTTTACACTTTATTAATCGGTTTAAAAGAGAAGGATTAATTGGAGCGAAAAGCGACAACGACCGTGAAAGTTAAAATGAAGAAATAATAATACAGAATATCTGATTATTTAATTATCCTGTTTATAGGAAAATACGATTCCTATATCAATTTTTTTTATTCTTTTTCTTTTTCTTTTTTAATTATACCTGTTAAGATTTTCGAATTTTTAAACGATCTAAAAATTAAATTGAAAATAGAAATTTAAATTTAAAAAAAATCTTTTGATAGAAGAATTACAAGAATAATATCGAGAACGATTCAAAGGATATAATAGAATTGAGAATTAACTTAATTTCGATATGATTTTAATAAACGATCGTAATATGTGCATTATCGTTAAATTTATGTATTTCTAGATTCATCGCGCGAAAAGTCAGAGGATCAAAAACCATTAATCACCGGCATCGATTAAATCGTGTACCGATTTAAACACGGTTCGAGAAATCGCGTGAAGTTAATGGTTAAACAGTGAACGCGATAAGCGGGTGGAAATATTGATTCGAATCGTGTCATTGAGTCGAGTGGTTCATTAAAGTCACAAAAGTTTCACGTGAAAGATAAATCGTCATCCGTTCGGAGCGAGAAATTGTTGCAAGAAAACTCTCGTACTATTCGTTTTAATGTCTGCTCGGTCAAAATACTTGACAGATACAAACGATAGATCGCCGATTCATCTTTAATTAAGTGTCTTTAAATATTCCGTAGAATAATTGAAATTAATTCTATTATAATCCAAAAAAATTCCAAAAATCAAACTCACAGAATTTTGTTCAAATTTCAAACAAAAAGTCTGATTAAATCTCTCGCGACTCGAGAAAGAATCAACAGGTTTGATCCAAACATTATCGAACTTTTACGAATCCAAAAACTTGAAAAATTCAAAAATTAAATAAATCTACACTTTTAATGAATTGACACTAATTCACTAAAAATCTAATCTAAACGTATCCACACGCCTCTACGAATACTAAAAAAAAAAAAAATCAACAGGTTCAAACATCGTCAAACGTTGACGAATCAACAAAAGTATTCTTCGCGTCCAACACAAAAAGATCAAACGATAATCCAAAATTTTTTTTCATCCCATCCTCCAATCCCGTTGTTAATCAAATTCCAAATTGAACGCGCTACTTACCGGATCATCCAAAAAAAGAATACACCGATGAGTCAAACTCCCACGAGCCAGCCACCCACTTAGTTTCATAAATAAACATAAAAGTTTCTCCCACGTTTCCTCTTCCGTCCCAATCACTCACAAAAACTACCGAGTTCCACCGAGAAAAGAAAAAGAAAAAGAGAGAGAGAAAAGAAAGAAAGAAAGAAAGAAATATCGACGCGAGGATGATTGAGATGATCGAGACAAAGCCAGGTCACGAAGCCAGGTGAAACGGATCACAGGCAAACTGGCAGTATCCACGAGGGAGCCGGCATACCTAGCGACGACCAGGCGTTAACTGAAAGCGTATGGAGGCCGAGGAACGCCGTCCAGTACACCTGTGTGCCACGGGGGACCCAAGTAGGAGAGAGTGAGGAGAAGGAGAAGAAGGTCGGTAGAAGGAGAGACTCTCTCGATGGCCTTTACGCGACGGATATGTTTATCGTGACAAACGAGACGTGAACAGCTGCTTGGAATCCAATAAGAGGGGGTTGAGTCGATCCGACTGAGACAGAGACGGATCGTTCAAATTTTAGAAAGATTTTTGGGGATATAGAATTGGTGGAGATATAACGATTTTACGGTGCAGTGAGTTGGAGGAATTCGAAATTGAATTTATAAGTAAGTAATTTCTAAGACGATTAATGGTGTTTCTTTTCTTTTTTTTTTTTTTTTTTAATTGTAATTTGTAATTTTTATTACAATTTTATTTATATATTTGAAAATAAAGAGGGTGAGGAATTTTGTGGTGCCGTGAGTTCGAGGAATTTGAAATTGAATTGATGAGCAATTTTTCGAAACAATTAATTGATGTATTTTTAGTGTATTTCTAATTTCTATTTTATATGATGAAAAGTTGTAGGTAGAAGTTTTATAATACAGTGAATTTATGAATTTGTTTGAATAATTAATTATTTTGGTGTAATTATGATTTCTGAACGATTATGATTCTCTACAAGTTTTTCTCGTTTAAATAGGATTGTGTAAGAAATTTCTTCTCGTAATCTTCGAACAAAGAATAAATCCGGCAGAAAACGAGACACGAGAAATAGATAGAATAAAAATAAAACACGAATACGTAATACCAGCCCCGTTCCCGAAACGCATCGAAGTCGAAAGACAAACGGGCGAAACTCGTTATGAAAATAGTACGAAAAGTATTACGGGCAAAATATGCAAACCTGTTCTCGTCGAGAGAAATGCAACACTCACGGAATGGCCTTTGCTCGAAAGTCGAAGACCTTCTAGCAGGTCCTTCGACCGCCTATCTTTTCCAATGGACAAAAATGGAAGAATCCTCTTGCGTTTTCTTGGAATTAAACCGTGAACCTTCGCGAGGGTTCCACCTGTTGAGTCGAAGAGGCTGCAGGTAATTTATCTCGGGACGTCCAGTCCAGTCTCCTAAAGTAATTCCAACTTCCCTTCTACGACAAAACTTTGATGGAAAGAAGAGAAGGAAAGTGTTGTTCTTTCTCAAAAAAAAAAGAAAAGAAAAGAAAGGAAAAACAATACGACTCGCCTGATAATGTATCCAAGTATAAACAAATGATTGTTCATACATTCGTGTATCAATTTTTTTATTTCATTTTAATAAATTTGAAGTATAATTTTCCAATAATAATAAAGTATTAAAAGACAGAGCAAAGTCAAAGCAAAGATAACTTGAAATAGCTTAACCTAACCTCCAAATTGCGACTCACGAATACAAAAAAAAAAAAAAAAAAAAAAAAAAAAAAAAAGAAGAATTAATCGATAATGGAACACGAGAAAAATACGAGATCAAAGCCTGGGAGCGTAAGTTCAAGGGGGAAGGGGGGAAAACGTGAAAACCAGCGAATCAACAGATAGAGAAAAATTGCAACGAGCCAAACGATGGCTAGCTATGCGGCTTGCATGCTGCGCCATGTACAAAACGATTCCCTGTTTCATTACCGTGGACTGCGATATTGTATTGGCGTTCGAACAAATTGCTTTCTTCTTCCATATAGTTTTCGAGCTGCGGATATCATAAATACCGGCCCACCTATGGGAAATTCGTCGGTTAGGAGTCATGAGTTATCGGCATCCGCGCCACAAGAATCGAAATGGGACGTTTTTCTAATCGATCCGCGTGAAAATAATATCCGACGCGAATATTCTTTTATACCATGTTGTATAAGCAAACTGAGAATTTTTATGCGTTTATCAATAATTTGAAAAAATTCGCGAATGATACAGAATAAAAATATTCAAAAGTAAAAGTATTCGTAAGAATATTTAACAAATAAACAATTTTTCATATTTATATTTATTATATTTATATCTGCATTCTAATTACAAGATGGACGAGATATATATATCGAAGTATTGGCAAGTAAATTATAATGCAATAAGTAAATTAAAAATTATATCTTATGGCTTACAAAGAAAAATTAAATTTCAGGAACTATCACGATGAAAAAAATAGATGGAGATTAAAATCGAGAAGAAAATCAAATCGCAATCGACCGACCAAGGATTTAAGGTCAGGTAGAGAAGAATAAGTCGTTGAAGAGATTCTTCTCGAGATTAAATTCCCTCAAATCGGATAAATGAGGCGAAGATCATCGATCGTTCGAGCTATCGATGCTCCACAAGTATGTCCTTAATTCTGATTAAACGTAATCTTGGAAGGAAAAGTAGCGCCCTATCGTTCGATTTCGAAGAAAAAGGAAAAGTTTCCCGGATTCGTTCCCCATCGAAGGCATCGAATCGACCGGTCATCCAGGTTTCCAGCTTCTCTATGTTTGCCAATTTCGAAGCGAGTTCAATTCTATGAAAGTTCTCTTTAGATTTAAGGCTCGAGCGAAGAGAAATGAGAAATGAAGCAACTTTTATTAATTATGAGTTTATAAATATGAAATTTTAAAAAGTGAAAATGTTTGTAGGTTGAAAAGAATTTCGTATAAAATTTATACTTGATCGCACTTAAGTGACGAAAAAGTGTTTAACAAAGTGTAAAAAATATGAATAGATTATAAGTAATAATATTTAAAAAAAATAATCGTTGAAAAGAAGATAGTATTACTGACAAATTGATTATCAGAAAGATAATCGATCAATATCGTAAATTTTGTTTCGTATATATACGGACAATAAATACACGGGCAGTGTACACAGGAGGATTATTATTATTATTATTGGCGCTACCGTAACAGGATTTCAGAGAAACAACATCACATTCCGCAACTAGAATTACTGTCGCATAAATAATTGATTAAGATAGACAAGATATCTTTCATAACACTAAGCAATGACATCATTTATCGATTTCTACTAACCGATGTACAAACGAATTCCTCTTTTCTACAAGACGATTCAAAAAGAAAATGCACGCGATCCCTCATTCTCTTGAACGAGGAACAAAATTTATACGAATGTTCTTTAATTTTATTTTATAAAAAAAAAATAAAATAAAATAAAATAAAACGTATAGGCAGTTTCACAGAAAAAAAAAACATAATTAACCAAAGTACTATGTTTCCATATAGAGTATGAAAGAATTAAACTAAGAAACTAAAGAATTACTATAACTTCTGTAGATCCAATTCTTCAAATCATTCGTTCATCAAATAACGATTCATAGAACAGAAAAACGAGGCGATTCAAAAAGAAAATGCACGCGATCTCTCATTTTTTTGAATGAGGAACAAAATTTATACGAATGTTCTTTACTTTTATTTTGTAAAAAAAAAAAAAAAAAAAAAAAAAAAAAAGAATATACTAGTTCCACAAAAAAGAAACAAATGATTAACCAAAATACCGTGTTTCCATATAAGAACGAAAGAATTAAACACTATAGCCTCTGTAGATCCGATTCTGTCATTCGTTCATCAAATAACGATTCATAGAACAGAAGAANATACTAGTTCCACAAAAAAGAAACAAATAATTAACCAAAATACCGTGTTTCCATATAAGAACGAAAGAATTAAACACTATAGCCTCTGTAGATCCAATTCTGTCATTCGTTCATCAAATAACGATTCATAGAACAAGAACAAGGCGATTCAAAAAGAAAATGCACGCGATCCTTCATTCTCTTGAACGAGGAACAAAATTTAAACGAATGTTCTTTACTTTTATTTTGTAAAAAAAAAAAAAAAAAAAGAAAGAAAAAATAGAATATACAGTTCCACAGTTCCAACCAGAAAAAAAACATAATTAATCAAAATATCGTGTTTTCATATGAGAACGAAAGAATTAAACACTATAGCCTCTATAGATCCAATTCCGTCATTCTTTAACCAAACAACGATATTACCACGACTCATAGAACAAGAACAAAACGATCGAATTAAATCCGATCTTAACACCCCTTAATACCCTCTCCCCCTCCGGATAAGACTCCGCCGCATCTTCATCTCCGTCTCGGCTCCTTTTGTTCCCTCCTAAACGAACGCTTATTCTCAGTCATCTGTCTTCTATTGTTCTTGCATCCACCCTCAATTATGACAGTGATTTAAGAGGCTCTGTTACTCGGCCGTAAAGTTGGCGCAGGTAAAACCATCTATCCCGATGTGTACAATCGTCGAAGAGGTGGGTACGTATGTACGTATATACGTACGTACACACAGGGTGCCATAAATCTTGGAGGATGACGCCTGGCTTCCTCCTTTACTTGGCTCGTTGACATCGACGATACTCTCGGATATTTTCACGATACGCGTACACGTATCGACAAGCGATATTCAGAGTCGTGGTGGCTACGGTAGGACGTATGGACGCGTCTATATCGATGGGCCGACGTAGCGGCGTCCCGTGACGAATCCTATATTCGTAACGTATTTTCACCGGGTTGTCGTCGATCATTTATTTTAAGCAATATCGAACGAGCCGATCACCGTTTTCCGTTGTGATGTCGAAACGCGTTTCCGGGGGAAAGGGGATTCCGATTTTTAGAGATTTTTTATTGACCTTTTTTTCTTCGTTTTATCCGCTTTTATCCGTGAGATAGATTTTGCCAATAGTTGTGTTAAATCATCTCTCGGGCTCGACGAGAGAATCGAGGTTGAAAACCTTTCGATGTTTTAATTTGCACGGGACAGGATTTGTTCTTACAATAATAATAATTGTTTTCGTAAGAATTTTATAAGAATCTACTTTGTCCAGCCGAGTTGTCAATCGAGGTTGAAAACCTTTCGATGTTTTAATTTGCACGGGACAGGATTTGTTCTTGTAATAATAATAATTGTAATTGTTTTCGTAAGAATTTTATAAGAATCTATTTTGTCCAGTCGAGTTCTCTTCAAGGAGAAGAGATTACTCTTTGATGAAATTCAGTCCGCCATAAAGAAATTAAATTCAATTTTCTCAATGTTTTCTAAGCTATCGATTCACTTTATCGGAGCAATCTCTCAGCAACACGATCTTTCTTTTATCACAGAATGAATTCGCACTCCCTGCGAATTTGTCTGCTAAACGCGTTAAATATCGTCGTATCGTTTCAAGAATCTTGAGAATTCGCCTTGAAACGCTTTTCCTCGCGAGATCTCGCCCTCGCAAAGAACGCGGCCCAATCTCGAGGAACGGCGAAAGAAAAAGAGGAGGACGCGTCCGGATAATTGTGCAAAGTTCACCGGACC